AAACTTCATCTCTTCCCTGCGCATACTGCCAAACAACAATGAGAATATACTCTCGCATGGCTAGCCGAATATCAAATTTATATTTAATTTAACTAGCCGTGCGGAGCAAATTCGCTGGTAGCCACAATTGGAGGCAAGTTGGCGTTGTGCAGCACTTGAGAATGGTCTTGTTTTGGCGTTTCGCAACACTAATTAAATTGCACACGGCATGTTTGCGAGTTATGCATTCGGCAAATTGCACATACGCACTGTAAACCATAAAAATGTCAGACCAAATGCGCATTTACGTAATTGAACATGTGCTTGTCGGATTTGGCTCGGTGGCTCCGTTGCCCTGGCTGGTGTTTCGGTGGTTGTGGTGCCTGTTGGTTTTTGCTGCATTCTTTTTAGTTCATTAATTCACTGGGTGCTGGCTACTCTTGGTCAAATTCAAATTAAAAGGTCGCAAGATAAACAGTGTGTGTTAGTGTGTGTTGTGTGTCCTTTGGGCTAATTTGAATATTTCTGTATGTTGTTTTTTGTGTTCCCCATCTTTTATTTTGTCATTTTCCGCGCAATTTATGTGCGACGCCAGCGAATAAAAAAAAACACATGGCAAACAAATTGAGTTACAAATTCAACCTCCGTTTTGTTTTTAATGTAAACATTGCTTGTGTCATACGTGTAAATTTGTGTGTTTGTTTTTATTTCCGCTTCTTGGAAATATATTTACTAATTAAAACTTTGCCCGCTGCTTGACTTTTTAATAATTTAGGCATCTTCAGCTCTCAGCTGTGATTAACTATTATTGTGCTAACTTTTTGACGTCAGATTGGCACATGTAATTATGCGGCATGCCATTTGTCAAGCAGAAAATTCGCATATTTAAATCAAATTAGCAGATAATGTTTGCGAATTTTCAATTTTCCAAGCCATGCTTGATTTTATTACCATGCCAAGTCATTTCTCTGCGTTAATTGATATACAAATGCGTTCTTATGAGTCATTTTCAAAGCCTTTAACATTTGCAATTGAATGGGGTAGACTTCTTTAGATATATGCAAACTATGTTTGGAGAGCTTGACATTTAAGTGAGTGATTATTGAAAAGACCTCTGTTGGAAGGCATTCCCATTAATCTTGAAACTTTTTCATTGAGTCAATATAAAAAGGTTCCCCTGTGGCAAACAAGCCGGGAGAGCTTAGGTTCCTAAAGAAAGAGCGCTCAATACTCAAGCTCGAGAGCCATATATATTGAGTATAAGCTCCTTTATATTGTATTCGTCTTTGATCGTCTGCAGATTTATTTTAATAAGACTTATTCTAATTTTCTAGCTTGGCGAAACGTTGAGTTAAACTAAAGTGGCAAATTAAATTAGCTGCATTTTGCTGCAGTTGATGGCTGTCGTGAAGCCATAAACTAGCTAAATTTAGCTGATGCTAATGTAAACAGCCCAAAAAGGCGTTAAAACTTTTGGGTAAAGTTTGGCGCAAGGGCTGATGGCCGACACGCAAATTAGCCAACACGCTGATACCTATCATCAGTATTAAAAGCAGCTGAAATTACATCATTATGTCCAGCCACGTTGCAAACTTGGCCGTGCAACAAGCAGCATGCAACGGCAGCGGACGCAACGGCTTTTGTGAAATTTGTGCCACACTGCTGAAGTCGCCAACAAGTTATACCGGTGCTGAGCAGCATCCTAGGTGGGAAAAAAAAAAGAAAATCCGGCTGGTCTAAGCAGAAAATTTATTAAACAATGCAACAGCCGCAACACAGCAGAGGGGCGAGCGGGCCAAGCGGGGCGCCAGCAAACAACGGACATGAATACTGAAAGCTAGTGAATGCAGCCAGGGAATAGCAAAGCGCTGACCTAAACCAACACACAGAAACCAAAAAAGGTACATCATAGACACCAACAACAAATCGGGACAGAATGAGACAATAGGTGCGTCAGTCGGCCGCCCCCAAGAGCGACAGGCATAACAGGACAACAAAGTGTCACTGGGGACGATGCCTGGGAGTCTGTCGGATTGCATATAGGCTAGGCTCAAGTATAAGGCCAACTGTGGAGTCACGTGTTCGCTCTAAGCCACTGCAAGCCGGACATAGAATTATGAATGGCCAGGCAACAGGCAAAGCACAATACCAACAACAGCACAACATCAACAAAAAGCGTGTGCGCTCTAACCAGAGGAGCCCCACAAGGAGGTGCTAGACTAGGAGCTGCTCTGTAAACAGTTGATTTCAGATATTCCGCTGAACTTTTCAGAGCATTAAGATTGTATGTAAATATGCACGTATGCCTTGAATTGAGGATGCATCTTTTATCATTTGGGTGTGACAAGGGTCAATTTCCATCACTCATCCGATCATCGAACATTTTGAATAATATATTATATGACATGCCAGAGCAAATATTCCAAAACATATTTCTCTCTATATTTAAAAGTCTGAAATTGACATATTCAGATATCGACTCGTCGCTAAATGCTGGTCAAGTATATATATACTCTACGATATCCGCCTAGCCTACATATTCACGCCAATAAACTTCCCATCAATTTTCATCGGTTACAGGGTATAACAAGCCGAGCAGCTCGACAATTTGTTTTTGGATTTGCCTAACAAAGTTCAGGCTAAGTGAAACTATGCAGAGTACCCAGAGCCAAGTCTAATATGGTAGACTACTTACCAAATGATCCGATTCGTTATGCTTCGGTTCGATGGAAACAGCGAAATGTAAAAACTACATAAAATTTTTTTTTTTGATAATTGTTTTTAAGCCCCCTCTCCCTTTTACATGCAGGAATTGTGTAATTTGGGTATGAGTTGCTAACTTAGTCAGGTCTTATTTCCCCTCGGTTGCGAGAAACGATTTTATGATTGCGGAAAAAATGGGCTTGATTCTTACGTATAAGAGTTGATACGGATAGTTCGGAGTATGAAAACATATGCGTTCGCATAGGAAAATGAAGCTCTAGTACGTAGACTCATTTATATTCGTTTAAGCTCAACCATTACACCATTTTTAATGATTCGTTTATTCGACTTATCAGTTTTGCACTATATCATTAGAATAAGAATTTTCGGTGTGAATATAGAAAAAAACGCTCTGACCGCATTATTATTGCGCTGTTTTAAATTGGCAGAATTTAATTCACATTTCACTATATAAATAACCGGTTTTATATTTAGTTTATATATATATCATTTGACATATGTCATGAGAAAGTAAGCTGTAGCTATATTTTCCGACAATTCTGTGTAATTGGTCTGCTGTGATTTTTAAATTACAGAAATACCAACACATTGGGAAATTCGATGAATAACTGCTATTATATATTATATATATTTTAGACTTTTTATAGATAATACGCGAGAACTTATTGATTTTGGTATTAAAAGAGCAATTTGAAAGCATTCCAGAATTCTCAAGAAAAAAAACAAACAAAAGAAAAATTCTGGGGTTTCGTGTGGCAAGCAACTCACTGAAAGCTTAAATATTAAGCCACTGATTATCAGCAGTTGTCACAGCAACGCAGATGACTCTGATGGGAACTAAAATCAGAGCACAGTTATTGCATATTTTCATTGCGCCCCTCAAGCCACAAACCCCTGCTGACCTGTTGACTGTTTGGTGTCACGCTGCGTATGAGTGATAAATATTAAAAAACGTTTGTGTATATTTCATGGCACATTCTTTATTGGTACTTGCACTTAAAAAAAATACAAAATGGTTTAACATTCATGTAATATCGGTATCCATTATATTCTGCAGGCGCCATCTCTCCTTTTCGTTGAGTTTAAAGAAATTCTTGCTCGTGCGGTTCACCTCAGTCATATTATGCAATGGTGGCCAAAATGTCGTATATGATATGCATCTATATGCGTAGGTGCTTATATATTTAAATATCCGTGCATATATTTCGGTTGATCTACCTAGCTTACCGCATAAAATAACAGGCATCGGCTGCAGTTTTTTGAAAGTTAACATTTTGCTTGATCTCATGCACCAGTTGTGCCTCGTAAGCCTTGATTGAATCCTGATACCGTTTGGCGCATATCATCTCACTATACGAAGGATATCTAAGGTAGTCTATCGCTTACAACTGCCCGATTACTCACTAGGGTATCTTGAATTTTGTAAAGCTGGGCTCACAACTGCGCATATCGGCGGCATCTTTATGATGATGCCTATGGTCATGGTCTGACAAACGTAAAACAGATCCCCTGGCATAATTGGGTCGTTCGCCATCCTGCTCATGGCGGCCTTTGAATCGATTCAGCGATGTGCTTTGATCCACATTTGGCACTCTGATGGTGGTTGTTCGACGTACAGCTGCACTATCCCTAGAATACAATTTTGACAATGACTTCGCACGCGACGAAGCTGTTTCCCTGAAAACTAGTGCCATTGGGTCGGGCTCATCTTCTGTGGCCATTTTCAATAAATTCACGTGTGTATGTCTATGGTTGAATTGTTTATATTATTATTTTATTTTGTTTACAAGATTTTCCTAACTGTGTACAGTGTTGGATTTGAGTATAAATACTAAGCATATCTTGGCATATTGCTTATTGTAATAATTGCTCTGTGTTGAACTTTTTTCAATGGCATAATATCCTAAAAACTTTTATTTGAATACTAATCATAGTTTTTATTTGCTTGTAATTGTGTGCAGTGACTGCTCTTCAGCTTATCTGTCGTTATGTCACTCTTGAAAGCTTCTTCCCACGCTCGCTCTCACTTTAAAACTAATTACTGTGCTCGCCTTCATTTCAGCTCCTTTTCTCGCTCCTACTCTTGTTCCACTTTCATTCCAGTTCATACTCTCACGTAACATTCATTCTCTCACGTTCCCACCTAGCTGCAGCATTAACACAAATTCTCGCTCAAAGCTCACACAGCCGTCTTAATGCTCTCTTAACAACAGGTTTGGGAGCGAGCACAGTCAGTGATCGGCTGCTAAAATGTTCTCTCGCGCTATTTAAAGATCCGCCTCAGCTGTCGCTGAAATCAGTTCGACTCGATTAGTGACCGCGTCAAGGTCGAGTCGCGTGCATATATAAATCGAATGTGAATTTTTGTCTAACAGAACCATATAAATTCTCGTATGATTATTGCATTTTAGTGTTATTTCCCGCTATGATATCAACTCAAAGATCTCTGGGATTTCTGCTCATCGCAGCGCTGCTGCAGCGCACAGTTTACACACAACAAAGTTAGTACAAAGCGCGCAATTAACAGGTTTTAAGTGAATCACACGCTGTGAAATTGACTCTATGACTCGACAGCCGCCCCAATCTCCGCATCCATATCTTGCCTGGGCCCGTCCCTGTCCCTGTCTCTGGCTATCATCAAGTCAGCATTAATTATAATTGATTATTAGCTTTGAGTTCTGTGCTCACTTTGGCGCCCTGAATCTAAGAAAGTGAATGACAGGCTATTCACTTTCGACTCGTGGCCTGGTTCATTGACAAGCCGATTGATTCGACTTTTGGATTTGACCATCAATTTAATTACAAACGAGCTGAAAATATTGAAACAACAAATAATGTCATCATTGCATGTTGGCTTTTGTATCAATAACAATTGAACTTAATTCTGTCTACGCCTATATACTTAGTAAAACAAAATATGCATGTGAATATATTTATAAAAGACTTAAATATATTCATTAAACATTATAACTAGACAGCATTATTGATAAGAGCTTCGCTCGAAACTGGCATATTTTTAAATATATTTTTCCGAGATTTTTGTTGTGCCTCTAAAGTAGATTGCGTCCTGTATTTATTTGCAAAACCTTTGACCGATCTTGATTTCAATATTGAAGCTAAATAAATATTTATATGAAAAATTAATTCTGTATTTAGTTAAGATATAAGTACTGATACTATCACGTTTTAAACTATTCGTATAACAGAGAACATTTTTTACCGACAAGCCTTAGTTGCATTGGCTTGCAAGTAGACTATTAATGCCTTTATTCAAATGGAGCTTATAAATTTAATTAATGTTGAAATTTTTTTATTACATTTGATAAAAAAACAAGAGGTTCTACTCGGGAGCTTCTGACTTGGGAATACCCTGAACCCTCTTATATAATACAGATAAATCAAAAAGAAAAGCTCCCTTGGCAGGGCTCGAACTCGCAACTGGCCGCATTACTTGCCGCCGCACCTACTCAACAGCCACACCAGCCAAAAAAATAATACAAATAGTTTTCTTTGTATGGTTCGAACTCGCAACAGACGGCGCTACTTGTCTCTGCCTCTACCCAACAGCCACACCAATTATTCATTCTTAATGAGAAAACAAAAAATAAAAAGACCTAAAATAGCAGCACAGAAAACAATACAATCGCAATTGCAATGCTGTTGATAGAACTCGAAGTAGACGCGCATGAATGTGTGGTGTACATGTATACAGAAATTTTTGGAATTTGCGCTTGTTGCTGCTTACACGTGCGCTGGCAAAACACAACTATTGTGTTTCTTAGCCCATATTAATAAAATTTTCTACAGTACTTCATATTGTGACATAGAATATGTATGATCAAAATGACAATTGCATTAAAATTGTAGCTTAAAGTGGTGGGCAATACGTACATGGTTCATAACTTAATTTATAGCTATATGGTGTTAACGGGAGGTGGCGTTAGCTATAAAATGAAAGTTACTTTATGTATATATATACTATTCTTGAAGCAACAAAACAATTTGATGATGAAAAAAAACAGGAATTCGACATCGATTTTAATCGGTCATTCATTTACATTCATTTACATTTTGCACAGAAACATTATACCCTTTTTACCCATTTTTAATGGGATCAAGGTATAAAGTTTTGCACTGAGAATCCCTAAGGGCTACAATATCAGCATTGCATATATGAAGTTATTTATAACCGTGTTTGGCAGGAAACAGTTCTATAGCGAATATGCCAAACGTTGGTTCAGTTCGAATTTGACTGTGAAACCTAATTGTACTGTAACAAGGGCGCATATAAAATGTGGTTAAAAATAATTCAAAGTTGTTGCATATGTTTTGCAATCGATAGAGTAAATGCTGATTTAAATTCAGTAAGAATCCATACAAATCATTTTTTCATGTATCGGTTGATATTTAAAAAGGCTTGCCCGCCAGAAGAGATACATATCATAAAACCGACTTCGTGTAAGCTGACTTTAACAGACGACACTCTTGAATTTAAGTGTTCCTCTTCATTTTGCAATATTAATGATATCAAGGGAACTTGTGATGTGGATCAAAAAGCAATCAGTTTGTTTTATGATTTTAAATTAATACAAAGATATTTACAAAACTCACCGATTTGCGAAATGTTTGAACAATACAACATAATTTTGAGGAATTGCAGCAATACACATATTAATTCAATAAGTATAAAAAAGTACAATAATATGGGACACAGAAGAGTTTTCATATTTTGAGAACTCTACCGAATGATCATAACTACGCACTTTTTGGCTCCACCAATAAACCTTAACTTAGAGAACTGAAAATATCGATTTTCAAAACTTCCATTTTGCCAATATATGAATATGGACGGAATATATTTACATTAGGTAAATTGTTTTTAAGAAGAATGCCAAAATTGGAACTATTTCATGTGAATAATACTCATTATGATCGAATCGGCTTGAATATTCATAAAGAAATGTTTGAAGGTCTGAGCAATTTATCAAAAATAATATTCAATAACTTAAAAATGTATGACCTTACTTCAGACCATTTTAAAGATTTAACTAATTTAAAATCTTTGCATCTCAGATTTCTAAGATTCAAACAGTTTGACTGGCTCAGGTATGTTTATTAACAATGAATGAGAATAACTGACTAAATTGTTTTTTTTTTTTGGCTGTGAGAAGCTTATCTTTTCAGTTCAGAAGAATTACAAAATAATTTGGAATATTAGGAAATTAAATATTCCATAAGTGAAGACGACCATTTACCTGGATAACAATATCTTCAAAAATATTCAAAATTAGGCATAATTGATATTATATCTGCATATACAAACCTTGACTGGATTTATAAATATAATACAACTGCCTTTATTTGTACTTAGCTCTCAACTGGTGTATTTTCAAAAGAGACATTATTTATAAAACATGTCCCTTTGCCTCTGATTGCACTTTAGATCGTACAAAAATTAGATTTAAAAGAGAATTCTCTCCCATGGAGCCATTTGGATTAGTTCCAGATTCATCTATCCCAACTTTAATAACAAAAACCTGTCTGAATTACCAGACTCAACCTTATATGGCTATGCTAATCTTCGAGAGCTGCATGTGGCCAATTACAGAATCACATTTAACTGTGGCTTAACTGCCACCTAATTTAACCTACTTGGATCTAAGCAAAAATAGTTTGAAAACTCTTGATAACCAAGTGCTCGAGTTTCTCTCCAATAGATCAAGTACAATACGACTATCAGGCAATTCATGGATATGCAATTGCGATGCAATGCCGTTGGTATCGTTTGTTGTCAACTCGTCTAATATGATTGAGGATCGCAAAAATATTAACTGTATTGAAATGCATTTTGGACAGATGTTATATTTAACAAGTAAGAGGTTCTAGTCGGGAGCTCCCGACTAGGGCATACCCTGAACCCTCTTATTCCAATACCATAGAAATTAATAAAAAAAATTCCCTTGGCAGGGCTCGAACTCTTAACTGACCGCATTACTTGCTGTCGACTCTACTCAGTAGACACACCAACAATTAAGTGCTTATGATAAAAAAAGGAACTAAAATAACATTACAAAAAAAAGATGCAATTACCAAAGACAATATATATTTATCCAGAAGTCGAAGATTTTAACGACCTGGAAACCTACATGAAATTAAATACGTATTTGCGACGTGATGATCCCCAGTTTTGGAGAAAATTAATCTATGCGATGCCCCACAATCATGGACATACTGGATTGCCGGTCCTGTTGAGTTCCAGATTAGTTGTACGATATATCTATTTTATTCGATAAGGATATATATTAAAATATACTAATCAATTTTGATATTTTGAGATAAAAAATAAAAGCATTATGTTTGGCTATTGGATCACCGTTTTGGATTGGATTTTGCGTTTTGGTCAAGCCGATAAAATTTGCACCACTCATCCATAAAATTGTGCATTTAAGGAATACAATTTCTTATGTTCGTGCTACAAATTAAAACAATATTAATTATATTAATATTATTTGCGTCGTTTTTAATATTTTCAAAGAGACTTTGACCCACTCTTAGTGGGCGAATGTACCAAAATCATAACCTTATTCTTACTTTTGAGACGTTAGAGTTTCAGTCAAAATTTCAGCTTCGTAAGCTTCAGCCTTCGAGGAAATATAAAGTTCACCCATATTTTTCAGCCTCCACTTCTCAGGTTATATTTTACAAAGATATTTTAAAACGTATTTTAAATGTAGCGAAATGAAAGCTAGAAAATCAAACTTGGGCCTTAAACCAAAGATTTATTTAATGTTCTTTAACAGAACTGGTCATGAAAAAACTTTCAACACAATTCATAAAATGTAAATTTTGTTTTAAAAACAACACTGAGTACAAAACTTTTCGTAGCTTTAGCAAAATTATATTATAACCTCAGGAGGTGCTACACGGGAGCTACCAACTAGGGGATACCCTAAACACTCTTATTACAACACAACAGGCTGCTCGCGCTATGCGCTCGTTTCTAGTAAGAGAGACAAATGAACCCTTGATTTTGAAAGTGGTAAAAGTCAAAAATTTTGAAAATCTAGCTTACCAGATATTTCATATGAAATTCTAATAAAATAACAAAATCTGAAGAGATTAGCAGTATGCCATGAAAATTAAGTCGATAAAATGTGTATATTTTTTTCACACAGTTTGGCAAAACTTTATCAAAATAAATAACAAATCAGGGTTTCAATATTGAATTTAATCGATTACTTGGAAATTGGGCAAGTTATAGAATAACGGATATCGAAAACAAACTCAAACTGCGTCGGCGTTAGAAGAATGTACAGCTAAAATTCTGGAATTTCTGTAGCCTCTAGCTCTTATGGGCTCTGAGATCCTTATGTTTATACATACGGACAGATGGAAGGAAGGACGGACGGACAAACAGACATGGCTAGATCTACTCGGCTGTTGATGCTGATCAAGAATATAATATATATATAAAATAAGAATTTATAGGGTCGGATATGCTTCCTACTGCCTGTTATATACATGTGCACAAATACATTTTACCATTTTTATCCTTTTTCAATGGGTTCAGGGTATAAAATGTTGTAAACTTAAATGTTTTCTTAAAATCCTTCTTTTGTAACATTATTAATTATAATTCTTGAATTGTAGATTGCCGCAATCCAAATCAAAATGCTGGCATCTGCATATCGATCTACGATTGTCCCAGCCTGCTGAACGTGCTGCAGCAGATCTTGCTGAGCAGCGATGAGCGCCTGTTCCTGCGGGATTCCCAGTGCGAGAATGGATTCGGTCGTCGGCCATTTGTGTGCTGCACGCCTGATACAAACTACGCGAATCGCCAGACAACAACAACAACAACAACCACAACAAGAAGGCCGCAGACCACGCCCACTAATAGAGAAGGCGGACAGTCGGGCGGCAACCTGCTGCCACATGCTCCTGCGTGCGGCCCGAACTCGTTCCTCGACCGGGTCTACAACGGCAACGATACGGCCTTAGATGACTTTGTGTGGATGGCATTGCTTGAGTATAGAAGTCGTAAGTGCTTTGATAAGCTTTGATTAGTAGTCAGCGCTACCTGTATTAACTAACCTTTTCTTTACCAGGCGATGGCCAAAGACTTCTCAACTGTGGCGGCAGCTTGATCAACAATCGCTATATCCTAACCGCTGCCCACTGCGTCACGGGCGCAATCGAGACCGAAGTGGGACAACTGTGAGTGGCTTAACAATATTCTTCATCCATTAACCTACACCTTATTCCTCTGCAGCAACCGTGTGCGCCTGGGCGAATATGATCTCAGCAAGGAGGTGGACTGCGTGAAGGGCGTCTGCAATAAGCCCGTTCTGGAGGTTGGCGTCGAGGAGGTCATTGTGCATCCGCAATACGATGGCAACAGTCGGGATCGTCATCACGACATTGCGCTTATACGTCTGAGTACACCTGTCGAGCTCAATGAGTACATCCAACCAGTTTGTCTGCCCTTGGCCAACGCTCGAGCTGCCATCAACAACCAGGAGCTGCTGGTTGTCAGCGGCTGGGGACGCACGCTACTCAGTGAGTTTTATATTCGAGCTCACAGTATTCTAACCAAATTGAGCTTTAATAATATGTGAAAATTTATCCAATTTTAGGGAATTTTTTTGTTCCTCTTGAAAGTTGCATTTTGTAGTTTACGTAGAGTACAAATCAATTATGCTCTCTTTATCTCTTTGCAGCGCGTCAAAGTAATATTAAGCAACGTCTGGATGTGCCCGTTGCTGATCCCAATTACTGTGCGGAGAAATTCGCCACTCGGCGAATTAATGTGATCAGCTCGCAACTATGCGCAGGCGGCGACTTCTCGCGAGACAGCTGCGACGGCGATTCTGGTGGACCTCTGATGCGTTACAGGGAGGCGTGGTATCTGGAGGGCGTCGTCTCGTTTGGCAATCGCTGCGGACTGGAGGGCTGGCCGGGCGTCTATACCCGGGTGTCGGAATATATTGACTGGATCGAGGGCGCAATACGTGCGTGAGGCGTTGCAATGGAGTGCAGTTTGAGGGCAACCTAAAATTAAGTTTTAATTAAAGAGCGAGCGGTGTGAACTTAAGCAAAAGACGACGCATTTTAATTAACTCGCATTAAATGCGATTTTATCGGCAGCTGCAACGTGGCGTATACGTAATGCGCTTACTGCCACCGTTTGCGGTAATTAAAACGATGCCTCAGAAAGTTACTTTGGGTGAGCGCTGCCAAGTTGCCCGAGGCGCCAAGTCCTTGCAAGTCCTCTCAACGATTTTCTATGCAATTTGGCAATGAATTTCTATTATTTGCACTTGGCGTCCAGAGAGCATCTCTTGCTCCTCATCCTCCTACTGCTGCTGTTGCCGCTGCTGTCCCGATTAAATTGTTTGTTAGCGCTTCGTAATGGGTGGGCGTGGCAATGCTCAACAAAGAAGACAATTAATGGGCTGAGCGAAAAGGTTAATGAGGCCTGCAGGAAACGCAGCCAAATAAGGTAAAGTAAGCTATACAATGAACTGAAATGCTCCAAAGGCTAGTGAAGTGTATGCAGTGACTTAGAAGGGTTAGAGAGGCGGGTGGTGCAGTGGTTTACAGTTTGGCTTTGATTGGCGTCGCCGTAAACCGAGTTCACTTCTCGAGACTTCTTTTGCATTGGAACTAATTATGAAAGTTAAGACATGAAATAACTAGTTCCATTAGCAGCTTTGAGCCGGACCGACTTTTCAAGAAAAGCGAAATGGAATTACGAACTGGCACAAGAAGGCAAATAACGAAAACAGTCTCTTGTAGATCCTTGAGGATTCCTTGAACATTCCTTAAAGAAATTCTCTATATGCATTATTAATGCCAAAAGGAACCCAAGAGCATCGAACAACTATCAACTCAGAATGTGCGAAATTAGATCGAAAGAAATTGAACCTATAAATTTGGCAAACAAAGATTAAAATATTTATTTATTTATTCTCTAAATATATTTATTTTGCCAAGAATAATATAATTCTCCAGCAAGATCCATTAATTAATTTTAAATTTAAAAAAAAAAAACACGTAAATTTAAATTTGATTTAAACGACCTTTTTGTTAGCACGTCCTAAATACTTTTTAATAAATTTAAAATAAATGAAAATAAACAAAAAAACAAAGCAGTAAATTGTAGATAAAAAACTGCTGCTTTGAAGCGTTTTAGTTATCAGTTGCCAACAACTTGGCGCAACTGTTGCCAGAAACTCTCGACTGCGTGCTGAAAAGTTTGCACTTTCGTGCTCAGGCCCGGCCATGTGTGGCCAAATCGGCCAGCAAAAATAACACGGATAAAAAACACACTCACTTTGCCTAAATGCTGGCAAAAACTTGTAATTCAATTTTGGCCAACTTTACACAAATGCAAGCCAAATGTAATTAACACGCACACAGACACACTCTCACACACACACACACCGAAGTAGACGAAATTGCAGACGGCACAGCTACACCTGGCACTGGCCAGACTGACTGCCATCAATTGGCCCAAAAAACGCTCCAAACTCACACTCCGAGCCATGTGTAAATTTGTGTGACGGCCTCCCGGAATTTGGCTCGGCCTCTGCAAAGCGACGAGGAACGTTTGCTAGGAGGCTGGTTGGGGGGGACGCGTCGATGCCGACGCAGTGTAATTGAGTTGTGTTTGCAACATTTTAAATAGCCGCCGGTGTTAACGAGCCTGCCTCGTAATCCACTTGGCTTACTGTGGAGTTTCGGCCCAGGCAAAGTTTGGCAAATACGTTTAGATAAGTGGCCACACCAGGGAATCCATACTAGATATATAAATACTTAGACATAATATGTTTAGCTAACTACTTTCTGCTGTTCAGACAGAGAAGCAGCTGCAAAAGTTGTACAGGATACTTGCCTGATTGATAACCTACACATACAGCACTTTAATTGAAAAAGATTGGCCCTTAAAAGTGTCGCCTTGTGCTTAAAACTAAGCCTGTTATGTTCGTCTAAATACCTGTCTTCCGTCTTTCTCTGTCTCTCTCTCTCTTTTCTTCTTTTTGCTGAATTTTTCTATATGTCCCAATTGGAAATAGGACCTATTTATTTATTACAAGGGTGCTTATATTTCCTTGTCGCTCTCAGCTGGAGTCTCTTATAAAAACACTTACCTTTTTTCCTTTCCTTAGATAATCTCTCTCTCTCTCTCCCTCTCTATCTCTCTCTCTCTCTCTCCCCCTCTTTCTTTCTCTACAATATTGATCCCCTTTACCTCCCTGCCCCTCGATTAATTCTTTAAGGTTCTTAGTTTCATTTTGTCTCTCCCTTTTTCTCTTGGACTGACCTTATAGACATTAATAAAAAAATTAAACATATATAAACAAATATGGTTCTTAATAGATCTTTCAAGTGGTTGCTCGCAAATGTTGCTGCCCACTGCGTCAACTGGCAAACACACACTCAAATCACACACACTCGCACTCTCGCCCTCTCACACTCTCGTAAATCTAAGTCAATTTGTTTGTTTTGGTGTTCAGGAAAAGAATATATATCACATAGTAATATGTGCCTCAGTCTATACGCCGCGCTGATTGATGAATTGAGCGCACGTTACCCATACGCCATGTGCGACAGTTAGAGGAACGAACCAAAAAAAAAAAAAAAAAACACTGCAATAATTTCATTTAACATGCATAGCCCAACTGAAGCATTGCAGAAGCTGCCGTGTCAACCCAAACCCGAGCCCAAACCCACCCAAGCCACGATTTTTGTGCAATTTATGACTTTGGCCTGAATAAACTCATCGCTCGGCCCAATTTACGGATTCAAATACCCGTCAAAATGCCAAAGTGGATTTTGGCAACAATTTTCGTTTTTGCGCCGCCAAAAAGTGCATTGAATTTTGTATTTCCCAAAACGATTTTCATTTGCGAATTCTGCAAATTTTCATATTAAATCCGTCTTGAATTTTGGGCAATCTTATGAATAAGCTATATTAACTTTCATTTATGAATAATTATTTATGTTTTAAATGTGAGCATAGGCATTTTAATAAAATAATATATGTGCGCTTGTATTAATAAATCAAGACATATTTATTTTTAAAATTGTATTTAAAGTGAATTCAGTTTCACTTTATGCAAATCATAAACCTGCCTCCCTCTAATTGCGATTCAAAACCTGGGAACACTGTAAGGTGAACGGCGTATGTGTGTGTGTGTCCCTATATATATGTGTGTGTGTGTGTGGATTGGTGTGCCTTTGTGTGTGTCTGTATGGGACATGCTGCACATTTGATTACCGCTTCTGGGCATTTGCATGGTCTTTAATGTGATTTCGGCTCGACCTCGTTTGTCAATGGCATTTGATGATTGTTGCCATTGATGCAACGGTGGCCACATCATTTGCCGATTCCCATTTTGCAGTGCACAACAATTTTATTATTTACTTTTCATTTGCATTTCGCAATTGCCTATGCAGTTGTGCCCCCTTTGTCCGTCTGCACCACCTGAACCCCTCTTTCAAATGATATGCTTGGCGATTTTTCAGCGTTGATTATGTTATTTAATTTGTGTGCCCCCTGCATGAAGTTTTAAACATAATTTATTAATTAAAACACAGCAACTGATATGGTGTACTAACAAAAATGAGGTTTTGAAATAAAAATTTAACTATGATTGTAATTCTGACATTCCATTTAGTATTGTATATGTAAAATTATCATGGAATTTAGCTTTAAAAGAATTGTAATATAATTTAGGTTACTATGTCTGCAAATATAAATATGTAGGGGCTATTCGAAGTTCACATAAATTATTGCCAAATTGAGCGTTACGAGATTCTAGACAAGCGAATTGTCATGAAACCCCTTATAAGAAGAAGGAGCATAAAAGTGCTCTTAAAAGAACCGAAAAAAAAAAACGAAGAGGAAAGAATTCGGCATGCAAAATGTTACGCTCTATTTAATTTTATTTGCCTTTTGTGCACGGGTTTTCCAAGCAAAAAGAAAATCAAGTTTCATTCAGTCGATTGTCAAATGCGGGTGTGCTTGCGTACAAAACTACAGTTGTTTCTGGCAAAGTTTTAATGCCAAAAGAAACGATTGACATTTAAATTAATAATATTTAAATTTATCAGTTTATTGTACGAAATTTTAACTTTACAAAACGTTCAGTCTATCTAAAAAAAATGACCTTAAATATTTTTTTTTATAAATTTCCTTTAACTTAACCCCAAAATGATCTTTGCAAACTTATTTTTAATGGAACCTCTAAAATATATATATAAAGCGCAACTTGCGGTTCGACCAATTCTTTTTTTATACTGTAAAAGTACCATCAATTACCACATCCCTAAAAAATTCGAAAATCAACATAATTGTGCGTCATCAGACAAAAAAAATGAAGGAATAAATCTGAGCTAAATATTCAGTCAACATGATTGTGCTATTTTCAACAGGCATATTTTTATACCCTTGCAGAGGTTTTGATAAATTTTTCGTGAGATGTGTACGCATCGAAGGAGACATATCCGACCTACTAAAGTATATATCTTCTTGATCAGTATCAACAGCCGAGTCGATATAGCCATGTCCGTCCGTCTGTTTCTATGCGAACTAGTCTCTCAGTCTCTCTTTGTGCACAAAAGAGGGATCGGACCACTATATCATGTAGCTGCCATTTCACTATGCTCCCTTAATTTTATTTATTTTATTTTTATTTTATTATATATCTTATTTACATCGGACTACTATATCATATATCTGCCATAGAAATAATCGTTCGTTAAAATCCTTTTTTGTTTATCAAGATATCATGAGCATTAACTATATTCCCTGTGCTTCTTAGATACGGGCAAAGCATTATGAGCATTATGAAAAGGTAGGGTCTGCAAGGATATTGGATCTTCGGCGTACCAAAGATCTCGTTTATATCAAAAAAAAAGGTAAAAACATAAATATTTTGCACTCAGCAACAAAATAAACGATAGCTATTGAAATGATGATGAAGTATTTGCTGGAAGTGTTAATAAATTGGCAGCACGCTTGCCATTGGCAACCATGAATTGAACTTTTTTCTTGTGTTGCAATATCATAATGTACTGGGTGGCACACAATAA